CTCCCTGAATCTCTCCTGCGTGGCCGCCCAAGCACTCAGGGTACAGGGAACCCTGCCCCGTTCCCGTGCTGCACAAGGCCAGCTGAAGGGTAGCGTCCCGGTGGCCAGAAAGAAGCGCACAGGGAATCGGTTCAACGTTCGGCACTGCCTCTCGTCTCTAGCCCTGCCCACAAGGCCGGCCGTGGCGGTGACCCAGCGTCTGGGGGTAACACCGGAACCCAAGTTCAAGTTGACCGTCCAGAGCACAGGCAAGTGCAGCAGCAAGTCAGTAACCCTGATGCCTGGTACCAACAGAGTGTGGGAGACCCTAAGCCAGGGGCAGGCAATCATTTTTTATTCCAATTTTTGGAAAGTGGTCAAGGGCCGCACTTTTCTACGGGGATGGGGTGGGGTGGGGTAGGGTCTGGGGCAGAGGTTGGATGCAGAAGAGAGATCGAAACAGGGAACTGGGGATGCAGGAGAGGGTGTGGGGTCTGGGAGGGAGTTTGGGTGTTGGAGGGGCTTATAGCCTGGGGCAAAGGATTGGGGTGCAAAGTCTGGGAGGGGATATGGGAACAGGAGAGGATTCTAGCCCAGGAATAGGATGTAGGAGGGGGTGCGGGGTCTGGGAGGGAGTTTGGGTGACGGAGGGGCAGGAGATGGGGTGCAGGGTACGGGAGGGGACTCTAGCCCGGGGATAGGCTGTAGGAGGGGTGCAGGGCCTGGGAGGGAGTTGTGACTTGAGGTGTGTGTGGGTGTGCAGTTTGGGTGTTGACCTGGGGTGTCAAGTGCCGGCTCTGGCCAAGAGGCACGTACATAGGTGGCTCCCAGCCAGCAGCCCAGCAGGACCCTCAGGCAAGCTCCCTGCCTGCCGCAGCCCCAGGTTGCTCAAAGCGGCTGGCTGCTCTCTGTGCCTCTCTGCACCTTGTGAGGGGGGAGGGAGGGGGAGGCTTTGCATGCTGCCCCAGCCCCCGCGACAATCTCAGCTCCCACTGGCTGGTTTCCACAAAACTTCCCCTGCTCCTTGGTGCCTGGAGCGTGCAAAGCCTTTCCCCTCCCCAGTGCATGCACAGAGAGGCGCATGGAGCAGCCAGACACTGAACTACGTGGAGCTGCGACGGGCCCAGGGGTCCCGGCAAGGTGGATTAAAAGGCTTGGTGGGCCGGATCTATCCTGCGGGCTGGATCTTGCCTGCCCCTGCCCTAAACTGAGCTCCCACGAAGGCGCGCTCCACCCGCCGGCAGTGCCACATCGCACGCAGGGCCCAGGCAGCTCCCAGCAAAGCCCAGAGCAGGATCCGGGTGATGGAGGCGAGGAGGGAAGCGCAGAGGACGGGAGAGGAAACACGCACAGATGAGGGAGACGGTCTCCACTAATGACGCCGTCCGGACAGGGATTCCAGAGGCCTTCCCCCACTCCCCGCGGGACGACAGCTGGAGCGGGTTCCAAAGGAGATTCCCACGCAGAGGGGCAAGGAGGGTGCAGCTGCTTGGATCTTGCTGGAGACTGAAATGCCCTAGGAAGGGAAGGGAGCTGGGGAACGAAGGTTTGGAGCAGCTGGCACAGTGGGAGGCGGCTGAGGATGCTGGAAGGGGACTTAAGACCTTGAGTTTCAGAGGGAATGACATGGAAACTCAGGACGACTCCCCTATTCACCCATCCCCAGGTGCCCAGCAGAACCAACGTCCCAGTTGCTCCCAATCTCCCAGGGCGGGGTAGGGGGCAGAGCCTGCAGGTCAACGTGTCAGTCGTTTCTACCCCGTCTGGAGGGCTGACTTCTCAGGGATCCCAGAAGGGGCCACTGTGAGCTTCCAGCCTGGCCTCCTGTAGAGCGCAGGCCAGGGACCGGCCCCCCAATAACCACGAGAGCAGAGCTGGATTTAAAATGGGCCGGGATGGAGAATCATGCCCACTTGGGAAGCCCACGACAACTGGCTCCCGATCATTTCAGAGCCGGATTTCCGGGTGCTCTCTGCATTTCCCCCAGCCCGGGCAAAAAGAACAGAATGACGCTCTCGTTCATCGTCCAGCGCTCACACTTGGGCAAGGTACCACCTGGGCAGCCACCCAGGAGAGATGCAAATGCCACCCAGCCGATCAGCAGAGTGTTCACAGCCGCACACAACCGGCAGCATGTGTTTCCACTGATGGTGCACAGTCACACGTGCCAGGGTGCACACAACAACATTTATACTGCACATGGGTGGGAAAAAAAAATGAGAGAGAACATTGCCTGGCTGGGCTGCAAACTCAGCAGGGGGATATTTACACCAAAATACAGGTTTCATTGGGATTTGCACTTTTACATCAAGGACGTTGTTCTGTTGACGGGGGGTGGGCCACAAGCAGCAAGCACAGGCCCCTTCTGGGTGAGGCATGGGACTGGGACCCCCTCAGGCTGGTCTCACCGAGGCCCGTCCCGTTTCAGAACGGCACAGTGAGCGACACGCCCGTCGCTCCTAGCGGTACGGGTGAGGCTGTCACGGCTCACAGTGACCATGTACCTCATCTCCTGCAGTGGCAAAGATCATCAGGTCCTGGAAACCGTCCCCATCCACATCGGGCATCTTCAGCAAGGGAGTCACCACAGTATAATTAGCTCCAAAATTGTTAAACTGTCTCCATCGAACTTTCCCTGGAAAACACAGCAGGGAGAAACACTTGCTCCGAGTCTTGCTAGTGGCTGGGCGGGGCTGAGGTGTTGCTGTTCTCTGACACCCCACAGCCTGCCAGCCCCTCCTGCAGCGCCACCCAGTCCCGCGCCCTGGGGGGTCAGATGTGGCTCATTGTTGTTAGGGTGGTTCTTGGCGTTTGAGTTCGAAATCCAAACGGTCCCAGGTTTGGTTTGTAGGTGAAGCTCAAACCTGGCTGTCGGCCGGGAGCCTAGAGCTGTCCCTGAGCGCGGCATGCGCATCGGCTGGGACTGGCGCCGAAGCCTTTTTCTGGGTCTGCTTGAGGAGAAAGATTTTCCCAGAGACTCTGAAGCTACTTGGGCGCAGACTCCAAATGGCGGGAGGAGACACTGCAGCGCGCCGCAGCCCGACGCCAGGGACGCAGGGAGCCTGGCGCGGAGCAGGCCTGAGGCCCACCACTTACCTGCACTCCACTAGCTCACAGAACCCCGACACCAATCCCACGAGTACAGGCTGAACCTCCTGGTCCAGCAACATCTGTGGTTCTGTCAGACCACGGATATTGCTGGACCACAGCCCAGTGACTGCAGGCCCCGCAGCGGGGGGCCAGCGACTGAGGGGCAGGAAGCCCAGGGCGGTTGTGCAGCCCCTGGGGGCAGGGAGCCCAGCTGGATCTGCTGATGGGCCCAGGGAGAGCCCAGAGTCTGTCAGCAGAAGGCTGGAATTGACCTCCCCTGGTCACGCTCCGATAAATCTGATAGTCTAGAAGGTGCCACAGGACTTCTCATCGCTCCCTTGCCCGGGACGCTCAGGCCCCAAGGGAGCCGGACTAGGGAGGTCCCACCTGTATTTACAGGTGCACTGACAACGTCGCGTTCCTGCCTACGGAGCAAACACGCCGAGACCGACACTGGGCTGCCAAAGAGCAAGGCAGGCGGAGCCCCCTGCCCCACCCCTCACGACTGGCTCGAGGACAATGGCCTTTCGAAGCCTCCCTGAGACTCAGCCCCCTCTTCCCACGGCCCCGGCAGCCGGCTGGTGCAATTCAGAGGAGGGAGGGGCCAGTTTGAAAATGGGGCCCAAAGTATCACGGGCTGCGTGTGCTATGAGGGGACGGGGAACGCTGCTGGACGAGACGCTGACCCCGTGCTCCCGCGCGACTCGCTTCAGCCCTGGCAGGCGTTACAAAAGGCTTGGCCCCGCGCCGGCTGGTGGCGAGCAGCACAGCGGGACGCCCCGCTCCCCTCAGCGTACGGCCGCTCCTGGCACAAGCGCACCCACAGAAGTGATGCCGTACTGCTGACGTGACTTAGGCCAACCTCGTTCTGTGGCGTACGCGTGGCCCGGGCCATGCTCTGGAAGGAGAGCCGCTTCCCTCCTTCCCCAAATCTCCTCAGCGCCACAGAGGCTGGGGGTGGGACCGCTCCGTTGTGCCCCAGAACGTCTCCTCCTCGTCCCTCTCTGCCCCCCTTCGCCCCGCAGCTCAGGCACTCTGGTCGCAAGGCCTCGGCGGGCCATGAGCCGCTGGCTCCCACACAGCAGGGAATACTTGCTGCATTTGGGGCAATAAACTGGAGCGACCCCACCCTGCTTCTGGACTTCGGCCTGCCCTTGTTTTACACGCGCGAGGGATTTGCAGGCCGGTTCTTAGGGGCATCGGCCTCGCATGCTCCCCTTCTAAACTCGTTAGCAGCTGGCTTTTTAGCCCCCCTCCTCCCTGAGTTAGCCACGCCCCCTCGTCAAGGGCTCCTGAACGAAGCAGGGAATAGTGGGCAGGAGAGAGGCTTGCTCGGAAGGTTTCTGCCCCGCCCTGCAGGTCACTGGGCTCAGCACGCGGCCCCTTCCCCCCAGGCCAGCATGCTAGCCTCTTGGGCCCCTAGTGCCAGGGGAGCATCAGGCCTGGCGGTGATGGGTCCAGAGCCCATCGGAATCATTTCGGAGCCCACGGCGCTTCCGGAAATAGCCCGAGAACAGAGCAGCCCCTCGGCCCTGCCGGGCAGCAGGACGACTCCGGGGCAGCGGGGGTGCGTTCTCCTCCCCTGGATCAGTGGAGGCAAAGTCGCTGGATCGTTCCCCCGCGGGAGGGAGTCTCCTGAATGAGCGCTATGGCGGGGCTGCCTGGCGGGGCTCCTGTTCACATCTCCCGGCTAAGGATGCGAGGAGCAGCCAGTCCGGGCAGATGCAGCGGGTGCCAGCAGGGAACAATGGACCCATTGATTAACAAAGGCTTTGGGAATGACGCCCGGAGGGTGAAAGAGCGGCCTTGCTGCATACACGGCGTCTACCCTCCGCGCCTGCTGCCAGCCCACGACAGCTAGAGCGCAGGACGCTGGACGCCGCTCCTCGTTCGCACCTGGGCTAGGGCAGTACCCTCAGGGGGAGCCGTTTATTTCCTTAGACACGCCAATGAGGTTTTCCGACTGGCCCCTCCCACACTGACATCCCTCAGAGCATCCCCATTTCTCCGCCTGCCCATTCCAAGCCTGGTGCTTCGGGCGCAACTGGGCCTCTCCTCTGGGGCGAGGTGGGCCTCCGTGACAGAGCCCCCCATTCATCCTTCGGAGCTTTGTTAGTTAACACATCGATCAACGCACCTTCTGCACCCCACACTGGAGTCCCCAGCAGACCTAAAACACTCACTGGGGTCTAATGGAGAGAGCCCCTCACCCCTCGTCCCTTCCTGAACAGCTGATCAGCAGGGATTTTTAGTTCCAATAAAGCCAGTCAT